TTAGGGTTTAGGGTTGGGAGTTTAGGTTCTTTTTATGGGTGTAGGAGTGTTAGGGTTTAGGGTGGAGGGTTCACGTTTAGGTTCGAGCGGCCTTTAGAATAATCCTCTGTTTCAAAGTTCCTAAACAGCATAGCTGCAGTGAAATATAGGGGCTGCAAGAAACTACGTCCATCGGTATATCAGAGTTGCTGACTTGATGCCAGGTCGCTGTCAAGCAGAGGAACGACGCAAGAGTGCGTGATGCTCTTCAGAAGGGTGATCTCCCTCGTCTTGTGGCCTTGGTATGCCACCTCTTTGATGGCCACCTGGCGGATGGCTTTGAAAAGAGACTCTCTAAGATTCTACAGGGCGTGGTTTTTTATTTGTTGAACGGGCCTTCAAACTTTTTCGGGGTTCATCTAAACCCTAAAATAGGGGCCTTAATAATTAGAATAGGGTTTGGGATGAGGCGGGCGAAAGCCTGGGTTTTGGGGTATATTATACTATACTTATAATAAGGAACCCCCAAAATAGTAGGCCCCTATATTACCTACCTGCCAGCATGAACCATGATGAGCCCTGAGATGGGACTCAGCCACATGTCTGAATCTCTGAATGATGCCGCACCCAGCGCAAGATCAGGCCGACAAAACACGCCACCACCCTGCACCCATGCTTCCGTAGGCCCTAAGCCCTCAGCCAAGTTGAACCCAAAAGTACCGAAGCGGAGATTTCTGTGCTGAACATAGTACTGTAACATCGGTGGACATCGTCGCAGCTTGGGTGGGTCAGCGGCAACAGATCACACAGAAGATCCAAAAAGTAGCTGGACCAGGTTCAATTCGTAAATCCCATAAGCCCGAAGTAAACGTCAGAAGCTATAAAAAACACCCTATCACATCCGTTTCCGAAACTCAGAAACTGAACCCTAGGCCTTAACCCGAAAACCTAAAAGGAGGGGGCGACACCTTATAACCCGAAACCCTCAAGAAACCCGAAACCCTAAACCCTAAACCCTAAACCCTAAATCCTAAACCCTAAACCCTAAAAGCCCTAAAAAACCTGAGACCCAACCGCGCGCGCTGCGCCTTTCGAGCTGCAGCCTCCTCCGAGGAAGCCTTTGTCACATGTTTACAAAGAAGCTGAGGGTTCCTGGGTTTAGGGTTTAGGGATATTTTCAAAGAAGTTGAGGGTTCCTGGGTTTAGGGTTTAGGGTTTAGGGATGTTTTCAAAGAAGTTGAGGGTTCCTGGGTTTAGGGTTTAGGGATGTTTTCAAAGAAGGTGAGGGTTCCTGGGTTTGGGGTTTACAGTTTAGGGTTTAGGGTTTAGGGTTCCTGGGTTTTGAGTTTAGGGTTTAGGGATGTTTTCAAAGAAGTTGAGGGTTCCTGGGTTTTGGGTTTAGGGTTTAGGGATGTTTTCAAAGAAGTTGAGGGTTCCTGGGTTTTGGGTTTAGGGTCTAGGGATGTTATCAAAGAAGTTGAGGGTTCCTTGGTTTAGGGTTTAGGGTTTAGGGATGTTTTCAAAGAAGTTGAGGGTTCCTGGGTTTAGGGTTAGGGGCTATTGGGGTTATTGGGTGCAAGGCAATTCGGATGTTGGGTTTAGAAGGCTGTCGGGATTTTTGTTGAGGGTTAGGCTTAGGGTATAGAGTTCTTGGGTGTTGGGTTGTGGGCTATTGGGGTTCTTGGTTTAGGGTTGTTGGGGTTTGTTTTGCCGGTTATTGAGGTTCAGGGGTTAGGTTTTCGTTGGGGTTCAGGGTTCAGGGTTTCGTTGGGGTTTAGGGTTTCGGGCTTAGTTGAGGTTTAGGGTTTAGGGTTTAGTCAGAGAAAAGGATTTAGGGTTTTAGGGGTATGGGCTCCCGATTGTGACCCTAAACCCTAAACCCTAAACCCTAAACCCTAACCCAAACAGCAACAAGCAACAAGGGATCACTAAAACCACCAAAACCTAAACCCTAAACCCTAAACCCTAAACCCTAAACACCAAAACCTACCAAGAAGCTTCGAACTGCTCCGCCAAGAAAACTTTCCCGAAGGTGCCTCTCGGAGGTTTCAATGGCTGAGGCCTTGTAGGGTGAAGGGTTTGTGTGGATCTT